CCTGAATATGCTTGAACTTGCAACATACTGGAAACATGCCTAAAACACACTTGAACATCATTCATTAATTCGAACGGAACACATCATAACTAGAGCATTTCTTGTTGTACCATGTCATTATTGTACGCTTAACAATGAGAGACTAATTCACATTCTCATGAGGTTCACACAATGATTCTAAACTTTGCACTTTTAACGTAGATTCTGAATAACTTCCAATTTATAAGCATCATAGCAAAATAACTTCAATTCATATGGATGCACATAGCTACTCTTATATTTACTCAGAATCCATCATTCAAGAATGAACATAAGCTCTTTTGGGTAAATGACTTACTCTACGTGCTCTATTAATCAATAGCATACACCTTTGTTTAATCATTCATATATGTTAACATAGTTGCCTTGCCTTGTAATGTAATTAACAGAGTCCTAATGGTAACCGTTACATCATTCCCATGAGTTGACATAATTAACGTAAAGTTGACAGGACATTCCTTATGATTACGTCTACTAATTCCAAAGCAATAAAGAATAACAAGCATGACTTGACCCGAGAAATAAGCTTTTCAAGCCCTTTTCTATGAGGGAAATTACAAAGGAAGAATCAAACCTATTTACAAGCGATAATGACTCCAAATCCAAACTCAATAATGAGCTATAATGACTCTTTCCTTTATGATTTCCAAGGGTCTAACTAAAAAATTAGTCCCTTAGAAGTAAATGCACCGGCAATAAAAGGGAGGTATAAAACAAGAGATTGTGCTTAGCATAAGAGAGATGTAATGCCCTGGTAATGAACCTCCAAGGAGATTAAACCATTTAGCATGAGAGGTCTCTTTCTTATGCCTTGAGCGGTAATGTTTTGTTTGATACAACTCTTAATCAAACGAAATAAATAAAGGAGGGCGATTGCAGAGTGCTAATGAAAAGGTGGATGGTTACAATGTTGTGGATATGTATATGAAAGCTATAAAAAATGAAAGAAAAGACTATCAATTCAAATGGATTGGAAGCTATGGCCTATACACCAAATCCATGAGGACTTATAACAAACCAAGTATAATATTCAAAGCATAATTTAACACATTAAAAAGTATTGAAACAACACAAAAACAGTGCTGGAAAATCAAGTTTTAGAGGTGGAAAAAGTGAGCATAGATGGGATAAAACCAAGGGATTTCAACCAACCAACAAGCCTAAGGAAGGGTGGCTAACCCCTCATTTTTTTGTGACTTTAAATCACATATTTCAGGCCTTAAAACACTCTGAAAACAGTAAGTAAACACAAGGAAAAGAGAGAGAAAAGATGGTGAAAGAGCTCACAGATACCCCTTGAAAGAGAGGAAGAGCTTCCTAGTTCACAAACCACAAGTTGAGCACTCTCAAGGAGCTAAAATTATCTTCAAGAACCTCATAAAAAGCCTTAAGTCTAAGCTTAGAAGGTGTATGTATAGTGTATGTATATTGCAAGAGATGAGAGAATTGTGTTGGACAAGTTATGGCTCTCGGCAAAATTTTCTAACCCTAAACCATGAGGGGAGGTCTTGTATTTATAGAAAAATAGCATCTCACGTCGAAAATGTCTGTAAGGAGACAGTTGGTACAAGGCATGCACATGAGGACAACTGGTTGCTATAAAATATCGGCCTGCGCTAAATATGGCCGGCTGGCCAACCATGAAAGGGTACGGCCGGCCACCTAAAAATGGCTTGCCCCACTTGCTGGCCAGCTCTTCTCTGAGTGTTTAGGCTAGAAAAAATAAGGTTTTGGTTCAAAAGGGGTGCAAGGTTTAGGTTTTAAAGCTTGAAATCAAAGCCTTTTGCTAAAGGAATCGAACGATTGCACAACGTAATATTTCATGATCGAGTGTGCAACGTAAGGCGCCCAAGTCTTAAGGGTAGTCAAAATGGGGTGTTTAGAGCATGCTCCGTGATAGAAAACATGACTTCATCATTATTATACATGTCTTCAATCCTTGTTCTCTTTTTTCTATAGCTTCAAGTATATCATAGAGAAAAGGCAACATTGTTAGAAGATAATCCAAATATCAAGTTTTTTTCCTCCTCCAAATATATGTACAAGGACAAAAGAATTGAAAAACCATTGAAAAAAATAAAATTACCAACCTTCAAGATTTTCTGAAATCATCTAAAATTACTTGCACAAGAATGCAAAACATTTTCCCACTAGTTCATTAGGTCATCGCTTGCACGTCAGCACATGTAACATGTAGACATGTGCATGTTATTTACATGTGTGCAGCACACATTCATGTGCTATTATTGTGCTCTCAAGAAATTGTCATTATGTAAAATTTCTTTAACCGTTTACATCTCCACGCTTCTTTGAATTGTTCTAAGAATAAAATCTTAACTATGTAGCTAATCAATTTCCATGAGGCATCCCTAATAAATAAATAAGAGAACATTGTTTAAGTGAATTGTCCTTCAACAAGATCTTAGTAATCTGATCCAATATTTAAACTATCTTACAAAGAATCAAGGACAAGAGCAACAATATTGAAAGTTAATTACTAATATTAATTAGTATGTTAAGCAATGAAACCCAAGGATGATCCCTGCCAAATTCTTTGAGAATCAAGATATATGATGAAAGTAACTAAAAGTGTCTATGATAAACGGACTAAGCTAGTTTTGGTATTTAGTTATTAATAAACATTTCAGATACTCTTAACATCAAAGGTTGGGACAGTTTTCAACCTGCAACAAATCAGGGGTTATAAAAGTTTGAAATAATTTTCAATGTGCAGAAAATCAATTGCTATAAAAGTGTAAAACAGTTTTCAACATGCAACAAATCAATTATTATAAAAGTTTAGAACGATTTTCAACATGCAAGTTTGGAATGGTTTTTAACGTGCGACAAATCAATTGTCATAAAAATTTGGAACGATTTTTAATGTGCAACAAATCAATTGCTATAAAAGTTTGAATCGGTCTTTAACATATGGCAAATCAATTGTTAAAGAAATTTGGAACAGTTTTCAACGTGTAGCAAATCAATTGTTAAGATGTAGAAAAATAATTTGGGAATCAAAATTCATTGTAGCAATTTGAAAGAAGTTCAAATATATATAATAAAAAAAATTAATATATAGAAAAGTGCATAAAACTTGAAATCTTAATCATAAATATCGGAATAAAAACTCATACCACTTAATCTATACGCATATTGTGATATTGACTTTGCTAAAAATGGAATAAATTATTAAAGTGGGTTGCCTTGGCATCATCTATTAGCTACTGAAAACTGATGGCAATGGTTGGCTGCGCGAAGGTGTCATTGAAACTACCATCTATCCTCCACCACCACAGGTCCACCTCCTCTTTTGCATTATTCTCTCTAGCACTCTCCTGCACTCTTCACACGATTAAAACACGTAGCAACCAGCAGATATGAAGGCACCAACGAAGCCACATCTATGGATTTGACGAGCTCAACATAATGGGACATTGGAACGTGTTATGAATGGTTGTAACAAGAAGTTATGCGTGTTGACTTCTCTTGAAATCTAGTAAAGGGATAATGATATTGATTGTGAATTTGCTTTCTATCACTTGTTTATACAGAATAAAAGAATGGCATACACACTAGTTTATGAGATTCGACAGACTACTAAGAACAATTTAGGAATTTGTTTACTATTCTAGTCTAGCACTATGAAATATGACTTTGAAACGATATAATAGCTTATATGATTTTTTGAACCAAATAACTAAATTTTATATTTTGAATACTTTGTGAAAACGTGATGAACTTTATGAATTTGCGAACTTACCGCTTTTTGTCAACACACCGTATGTGTGCTTTAAAAGATGAATTATGCCACCTATATGAATCATTTACTTGTGTGCCACCCATGAGAAATGTACCAACTCACTCATTCTAAATTGCATGTGAATGAACTAACTAAATAGACTATGTTATGGAGATGTCATGTACGTCTGAAACTAAGACTTTGGTGAATATTGTGATGGGTCAATGAGAGTTACAGTAGAACAAGAGGAATTATTTGAACATAGGAAAACTAAAATGAAAAAAAGGGATAGGAACCGAGCTATAAGCTAACATGACGAAATGCTTTTAAGGGAGGATATTTATACTTACCCCAGGAAAGCACCTGCACCGTTATGACTACTCATAACTCGGAATATGATGCCAAATTCGGTATAATCTGGATTTGATTTCTACATTTCCTTTTGGATGGATAGACTTTTGCTTGAAATGATGATTATCATATTTGTTTCTATTGCCTAGATTACGAAGCTCATGATACGTAATAGTGAAACTGTTGACTATAGGCCTAAGTGAATTGAGACTGCTGGAATGAAATTTACTTTGGTTATGAATGACAGGGCATAATGTTGTTTGCTTTGATTTGGTAGAACTTTTATTTGACTGGATAATGCTATGAGACCAAGACAAGTTTGAGGGACGAAACTTCCTAAAGGAGGGAAGAGTGTAATAACCCGACTCTCTTATATGCTGCTTATACACTAATTCCCTCATTATCTGTGTGATTACATGTTCAATGTGAAATTTCAAGTTTAAATGTGTCAATTATGTGCTTAGGAGATTGTATCTGTTGGTTATAAGAAAATCTGTTGAAATTACGATTTTTGGATTGCAAATTGAAAGCCTTAGAGGTGCGATAAACCAAAATTGACTTTACAGTTATGATTAGCATGATTTTTAGAGTATAATATGAAGTTTTGTAAAAATTTGTTTCGCAATGAATTAATTAGATTTATTTAAGCCAAATCCTTAAGTAAGCTGAAATATACAACTTTAATGGGTTCAGAAACCGAAATTGAGTACATAGATATGTTAATGGGAATTTTTAGAGCCATTTAGGAAGTTTAATTGAAAATTTATTTAGTTTGATTCGTTAAGGCGTGTTTGACAAGTGTCTTAGCTAAATACTTATATATATGTGATATAAGCCCCTTTTGAACTCATCTCCTCTCATTTTGGTGAGTGGAAATTCTGGAGGGTCATCCAAGAGAGGAAGAGTAGAGAGAAATAGAGAGCCAAAGGAAGAGATAGAAGAAGAGGGTCAAGATCAAGTTAGAATACATCAAGATTATGCAAGATTAAGTAGCTATGAAGATTCTAGGTAAGATTTTACCTCTCAAACCTTGAAGATCATGGATTAAGAGTTAGATTTATGAATTTTATGGAGGCTTTTACATGTATTTTGTCACATAAGGCAAGAACATAGCATGATTTCCTAAGATTCATGCTTATAACTTGTTTTCTTGCATGATTTCTAAGATTCATAAAGATTTCAAGGGACTTTCTCCATGGATTTCGGAATTTGAACTCATCACATGTATATCTTTTGATTTTGTTCTCGACTTCAAGTCTTTGAGCTTGTAAATGGAAATTTGGCTTTGCTTTGAAATCATGATTTTCATTGAAGTTAGAATTGTTTAATTCAACATGGTTTGAAAGGTTTTGAGCCTTGATTTGTGTAAAATGAAGTTGATTGTGAGAAGTTGAGCCTTAATCTTTAGGGTTTGTATGGTTTGAACTCATTAAATTATATATGAAATGAAGATCTATGTGAATTTGAAAGAAGTTTTGAAAAGTTGGAAAAGGAACTAAAACAAGGATTTTGATCTTTCTTGCTTAAAGATTCATTGTATTTTTGATGTTTTTATTTAGAAAACAATCATAATCTCATGTTTTCCATTAGTTTTACATGTTTTGGGAGTGATTTGGAATGAACCCTAGGTGAGAATTGGAGGAAATCAGCTTGAAACCAACAGGTCTTTCTCGGACAATTTTTCTCACCCAGTGTCGCACATACGGTGGGGTTTCTCGCACATGCGGCAGTCCATTTCCAGCACCCAATTTGATTCTACTAAAAAATCACTTGCCTCGGCATGTGCCTTGGATTTCTCGCACGTGCGGAACTCCCCTGTTTTAGCCCAAATTCGAATAAGTATATCTCTCTCATCTAGACTCCGTTTTAAGTGATTCTCAAGCCTAAATTCAAGTCCCGGAAGTCTAGTTTCCAATAGTGGTAGTCTCACAGCCAAATTCTAAGTATACAAATAAATATACTCAAATTAGTGAAAGATGTTCACTTTCTTTCTAACCATTTCATGCTATTTATTCTCCTAACCCAGTTTCCTTTCGTTTCTTCTTATTTTTCTAGACACGGATATTGACCCATTGAGAACTAATAAGTTTAGAACCAACATAAATAATTGGTTAAAGAGTAAAGTAAGGGATCGGTTTATCTGATTAAGAAAAGATTAAGTGAAGTAAATTTGATTAAGAGAATAATTCTATGTTTTGCTATGTTGTGTTATGTGCATTGTGATTACGGGTCAAGATTCGAGGACCAGTCAACCATTTTTGGAAAACCACTGTGTGAGTAATAGTAGTGTAACGATATGTTATAATTATATGTTATGTTTATGTACTTTGGAAAACCATTTTTATACAACTTATGTTTTATTGGAGATGATTGAACGTTGGATCACAATGGCATATGAAATGGACCTGAGGCCGTTGTGTTATTATGATTGGGCCCGAGGCTGGTCAGTTACATGTGATTATGAATAATGCTATGCTTAACGTGACTATGATGAATGCTCTAAATATTGTACCTTGGAAAAATATTGGGTTTACATCACATGCTCTTATTTAATTCAAACCTCTTCATTGGATTCTCTTTATTTTACTATTATTCACTGAGTTTCGCTCACTCTGTATTTATATATATTTATGTAGGTGATCAACTCGAAGGTCAGCCCTAGGTCAACTTCATGAAACTTTTGTGGGACCTGTTTTGCAAAGCCTCCAAAATTCGAGCCTTTTGTTCTTTTGAAGAGTTCCTTTGATGCCACATTTTAGTTAAGTCTTTGATGGCTTTTGTTGAACACTTGGTTAATATGTAAATTTTGGGTGTGAACTCTTTATATTGCATGATTAATCTTGGCATATAAGCACTACTCAATGGACATTCTATTATTTATTTGCTTCCGCTTTAGGCCGCAGTATGATTTAAATATTTCGAATTTTTGTTTGAGGTCTAAATGCAGGCCGGTCATGGCCTAAACGTCTAATGGTAGGTTTGGGTCGTGACATTTTTCATTCAACCTCTCTCTCTCTCTCTCTCTCTTAACCTACATTCTTGCATCATCAGATTTGGCCTCCTCTCCATCAACAAACTCATCGATGATGATGGAGGGCTTCCACCGTCGACCTTCTGACGCCCCTTCTCTACATCGACTGAGTAGCTTTGTTTACCCAAACAAATTAGCAGCCCTAGATCCCCAATTCTCCTCCATTGACAGCTAAGAAAAAGTACATTTTTTTAAAAAATAAATCCTCTCCACTTAACTTGCATCCCCATGATGAAAAGCTGTGTGATATGAATAATAGACTGGCTAAAATGTTTTTGTGAAAGTTGAATAATGGACTTGTTGAAACACATTAGCAGCCTCTATGATTTTCATACATAATGAACATTTTGCATTGCAAATGTATGACGAAATGCCCCATTGATATATATATATATATATATATTCAAACAATGAGATACATGTGAATGGGAGCAAATGGCCAAAATACATGTGAAAATTAAGTGATTTAGAAAACTAAGCCTGTGTAATAGTTTAATAAATTTAAATCTCATAAGCCAACCATTACCTCGGGAATATATTTACTCATCTGAAAGTTCTAAGGGGTATAATAATTGTGAAGTCCTCCTACTCATTTTGAGAAGTGGGGCGTTGCTTTGAATTTTGGTACATAACAACACAACTTTGTCCTTTAAAATATAAAGATCATATTCTCTATATTACAGCAAGCTAATTTAAATTGTTTCTTACAAAATATATTCACCAAAACATGAATGATAAAATGTCATTGGTTCAGGATGGGTATCGACCAAGGCTTTGTAGTTTGATGACATATAGTCTTTATGAATAATAGTCTTCATTGTTAATTTCTTCTCCATGCTAATACCTACACGTACCATTATCTATGGACGAAATGTTTTTAATACTTTAAAAATAAAAAATAAATAAAAATTGCTTGTCTAAATCTCATGTGAAACTCATGGTATACAATGACTAGGGACATTTGTTTAAAAAGTAATTTAATCTAATATGTTTACTTTTTTTACATTTGAAGTGTTGCATATATCAAAGATGGATGACTTAGCAATTGCTACCCAAATGAATGTTCATGGGAAGAATGTTACATACCAGGTATGGAATTTGACTATGAACATTTTGGCTTATGATTTTTGTAGTTCTTATGAAGGAAGAGTTGGATTTAGTATTAGAAATGATTTGAACTCGTTCTGATTTTGCTTTTCTTTTTCTTTTTTTCTTTTTTTTTTTCATAGGTTGGCAATCTAAACATTAGTCAGAATTCCCATCACCTTCAAATCCAGAAAATCTTGGAGACCAATGAAAATTGTTGGAAGTGAAAGATTTTTCTTAATGTTGTTGATGATGAGCTATTGATGAATTGAACTACGTTGTAACCATCGAATGGTTTTATTGGTCAACCTTAAATGTGAGAATTTTTATTGTCAATTTGGATTGTGAACATTTCTATTGTTATATGACGGATTGAATCGTAGAAGTTGCGGGATTTTGTTTTTGGGACAATGAAGAATCTCTCCCAAGAGTTATTGGAAAATAATAGTTAACAATTTTTTGGCTGATTCAAGAGTTTCATCCAGAAGGGGTCAAACCATGTTTTCCTTGTAGTTCTTTTTGGACTTCTCTGTTTTATGTGAATGAGACGATCTATCTTGTGAGTAACGAGTTTTGTTAATGAAATCATAGTTCCATCTATATTTTATTGTTACCAAGACAGTGAAATCTGGAATTTCAATAAGGCACAATGGGTACATTCATAGGATGTTATTTATTAATATCAACTGGTCAATGCATCAATACCAGTGTGTCAAGATTCAAGTGATGCTAGAATAAGTAGAGCCATCAACAAGGACTCGTAATAAAACATAACCAAAAACAAGTAAATGGTTTTAATAGTTAATATATTTCATCTTTTTCTCAAGGAAAAAAAAAACCCAAAATCAGTTGAACCCAAAATCTTAAAAATAACTTAAATGTTGATTTGTTTAAATTCTACGAATCACAAGCACAGCTAATTTTATACATTTGTTAAGCATTCTACAAAACCATATATGTATTCCAAAACCAAACGTATAAACTTAAAACATTCACTTGAGCATTAAAGCAATTAACACCATTAGCATGCTAAAACCAGTACACATTATGCTTGTCATCAAAAGCAATTTCATAGCTCTTTCGTTTGCCTCAAGCCGGTCTAATCTCCACTCTAATCTGTCCATAACTTCATTGTTTCGCACATGTCATTTGCACACTTGAAGAAAAGCCTCCCTGGATTTTTCTCTGATTCGGATATCTTCATGGCCGCTTTTTTTTTTCACATTTGCAACTTTGATTTTGGAAAAGGCGACCATCGTTGCTTGAACGAATGGATATATAAGCCATTGACATGTTACTCCTAACAATAGCATTTTATCAAATAATTAGTGCATTACAACTAAATGTAAAAATCAAAACACAGAACTATCAATGCATGTTCATGTTCAAATCACAAAAAAAAAAAAAAAAAAAAAAAAAAAAAAAAAGAAAAAGAAAAAACTACATGTTTAAAAAAAGAAGAAAAGAAAAAGAAAAAACTACATGTTTGTGATCAGATGATGAAGCTTTAGAAACTTCTAACACAATAATTCAGATCATTAGTAGCGTTTCAATTCAAATATGTAGTGGCATCCAACCAGAGAATGAGCTCCAAGAACCATAAAAGTAACCGATTCAATATACACACATCAACAATTTTGCTTTAGCAATACATTTATGGAAAAACATCATCACTGAAACAAAATATTCATATTAAGATATGGATATTGATATAGCATGGAGTGAAGAAGAAGAAGAAGAAGAAATGACTATTCCCTATTTTCCCAATTTACCTTCTGAACACACAAATAACATTAATGATCTGTTCTCCGAAACAAACTCAATATTAAGTTGGAATTGGAGTTGATGCATTGATACAAAAACACTATTAATTGAATAAATTACCTTCTCAAGTGGGATTAGAGCACAACTTGTTACAAATTTTGAGTGCAATTCAAATGCATCTTAAGCACCACATTAAAATTGCTTGCTATAATTGTCATAGTCTGATGCCGTTTTCTTAGAACCATGTGTGGCTGCCTTTGATTTTGCCAAGAGACAGTGACAGAACAAATTTCTAATGAAGTTAGGATAAAGCTCAAGATTGCAATGTCCAACCCCACTTGGCTATAAAGGTTCATACTTTTCCTTGCAAAGCTCCCAAAGCTGATTTCCACAGGTGATGGTTGGCTAATGAGATTTAATTTTATTAAACATATTACACATGTTCAGTTTTCCAAATCACTTACTTTTCACATGTATTTTGGTCATTTGCTCCTATTCACATGTATCTCGTTGATTAAAAATAAATGAATAAATCATCGAGGCATTTCATCGTACACTTGCAATGTAAAATGTTCATTATGTGTGAAAATCACAAAGGCTGCTAATGTGTTTCAACAAGTCCATTATTCAACATTCACAAAGCATTTCAACAAGTCTATTATTCATAACCACACAGCTTTTCATCATATTGGTTGTCAATGGAGAAGATTTGGGGATCTAGCGCTGCTAATGTGTTTAGGTAAACAAAGCCATTCAGCTGATGTAGAGAAGGGATGTCGGAAGGCCGACGTCGGAAGCCCTCTACAGCTACCGACGAGATGGAGAGAGGGAGGCCAAATCTGATGCTACAAGAATGTAGGTTTATAGAGTGAGAGAGAGGGGGGTTGTGAGTTTCTGAAGTCGATTTGGGAAGAGTAAGAGAGAGAGAGAGACTGCTAGTTCAGAAAAAAAAAACAAACGGAGAGTTGAAACATCCCATTAGTTTTCGAGGATTAGCGAAGCTTCATGGTTCAATTGGAACCCCAAGATAGTAGCAGACCTTGTCGCTGTGCTTGATAAATAGGGACAAGAAGACAAAGTACAGCCATCGATTTCCAAGACCGTTTCCAAATTAGGGTTTCGAGAACGCGACCTGGCTCTTTTCTACAGCAATTTGATTGATTCTTATTCTAATCACAAACCAAAACTAGGTTTTTTTGATTCCTACGCACGTTTGAAGGAGTTGGTGTATCCTCCATCCTCTGTTTATGTAAAACGTCGTGCATTTGAATCGATGACAGTGGCTTGTGAGCTATGGATCTACCTCATGAAGTTGAGAATGTGATGGAAGAGATGAGAGATTTAGTAGTGAAATCATCTGTGTTCGAGTTCAGATCTGTGATATACGCGTATGGAAAATTATAAATAAATAAATCATTGAGACATTTCTTCATACACTTGCAATGCAAAATGTTCATTATGTGTGAAAATCACGAAGGCTGCTAATGTGATTCAACAAGTCCATTATCCAACATTCACAAAACATTTCAACAAGTCTATTATTCATAACCACACAGCTTTTCATCATATTGGTTGTCAATGGAGAAGATTTGGGGATCTAGCGCTGCTAATGTGTTTAGGTAAACAAAGCCATTCAGCTGATGTAGAGAAGGGATGTCGGAAGGCCGACGTCGGAAGCCCTCTACAGCTACCGACGAGATGGAGAGAGGGAGGCCAAATCTGATGCTACAAGAATGTAGGTTTATAGAGTGAGAGAGAGGGGGGTTGTGAGTTTCTGAAGTCGATTTGGGAAGAGTAAGAGAGAGAGAGAGACTGCTAGTTCAGAAAAAAAAAACAAACAGAGAGTTGAAACATCCCATTAGTTTTCGAGGATTAGCGAAGCTTCATGGTTCAATTGGAACCCCAAGATAGTAGCAGACCTTGTCGCTGTGCTTGATAAATAGGGACAAGAAGACAAAGTACAGCCATCGATTTCCAAGACCGTTTCCAAATTAGGGTTTCGAGAACGCGACCTGGCTCTTTTCTACAGCAATTTGATTGATTCTTATTCTAATCACAAACCAAAACTAGGTTTTTTTGATTCCTACGCACGTTTGAAGGAGTTGGTGTATCCTCCATCCTCTGTTTATGTAAAACGTCGTGCATTTGAATCGATGACAGTGGCTTGTGAGCTATGGATCTACCTCATGAAGTTGAGAATGTGATGGAAGAGATGAGAGATTTAGTAGTGAAATCATCTGTGTTCGAGTTCAGATCTGTGATATACGCGTATGGAAAATTAGGCTTGTTCGATGATATGAAGAGATGTGTGGTTGAAAAGGAGATTGAAGGTTTCACATTACATACAGTTTGCTTAATTATGGTTCTCTCATCATTTGGAGCTCACGGTGAGCTCTCGGAGATGGTGTTATGGCTCCAAATGATGAAATCTCCAGGTGTTTCGTTTTCAATTCGTACATGTAACTCGATGTTGAATTCTTGCCCAACAATCATGGCAATGCTTCAAGAACTCAAAACTGTTCCCATTTCAATCCAAGAGCCAATGGAGAATTTGCGCGGCGATGAAGGTTTGTTGGTTCAAGAGTTAATTGGATCATCAGTTTTGGAGAAAGCAATGGAATGGAGTTCATTGGAGGGGAAGTTAGATTTGCATGGAATGCACTTTGGATTGACCTGTTTGATTATGTTACAGTGGGCAGAGAAGCTGCGGTTAAGGTTCCGAGATTAGAATCAGGTGGTTCTGACAGAGGTTCGAGTGGTTTGTGGGTCAAGAAAGCATAGCCAGTGAAAGGTCTGGTTAAACAGATGATCGTTTGGAGGGATGAGATTATGGATGAGGTAGGGAATAGGTAATAGTGGTGCGTGTTGAGAACGGGTGGCAATGAATGGAGTTACGATGGAGTATAATGGCGTTGTTGGTAGTGGTATTACGCCTCAAAATAATAACAACAATCCACTTCATGATATTCAATAGAAAAGTATAATCTTGCGAACTGTTTAACATTTCATTGATATTCCTTAACCGTACAAAAGATGTCTTATGTGTATATACATTCATAAATCCTGAATCTTAAATCTATAACACATGACATGTGTAAATGAATTAGAATGAAAGGAAGTACAAATAAGTTTATGCCATATTGGTTACATCTTTCCAAATCAATACTTGGGTACAACAAAAGTGAGTTTAACTCAATATATAGAAAGCCCAAGGCTTGTACAAAATAATTATAAATATATATAAAAAAAAAAAAAACAAAAGAAGCTCTCGGCTCTAAGTCCTCCCAAGCTACGCCCTTGGTGGAGGTATATCATCAACACCTGAAAGTTGTTTTCCACGTAGGGTGAGCTAAACCTCAGTAGCGATACTTGAACAAATATATGAAGCTTAACAATGTCATAATGTGTAAGCATATGCATGCCATTTACCAAACATTATACTTTCCCTTTTAAAATAATGCAACGCCATTAATATATATATATATATATATATATATATCCATTCATGAAAACAATACTTTCAAATCATAAAACAGAGCAGTGGATACAAAACACTGAGAATCTCTAGGTATGTGTCTGCCAAGAGGCTATACAAGAATTACCAAAGCCATTTGATTGATATTAACTGGAAGGATTTGCACCTAATCGCCCGAATTTCTAGACTTTCACCAACGACACACATGCTAATATAATAAACTACAACCGCACCCTTTAACCAGATTCACCAAGATATATACCTATTTTTTCTCAAGACAATACATTTTCAATGCTTAAGTATGAAACAATGCTCAATGCAAGATGTATGAGTAATTAGTTTCAATTAACTTAATACTTATGTAATTTCTACAACACTCAAAGATATCCTCCATCGATAGCCCAAAACAAATATCTCTACTCAACAGATAGTTTTCCAACAACAGATATAATCTCATAAATTTCAATATGGGAGCGATAATATATATGTATATATATATATATATATATTCAACTCCACTCTCATCACCAACAGATACATTTATCTCATCTTTTCAGATCCAACATCTTTCCATTTTCTTTCATAAATGAAACATCAATAATTTTCCAATAAAACATCCTTAACTTTGAAAAATCACATTTTTTGTAAGAAATTTTCAACATTTCAACACAACCTAACAATATTCACACCCCGATAACCTTTCTGAAGAATCCATTTGAAGAATCCCTCTTTTACATTTCAAAATGGAACCCTAGATTTAAACCCAAAATCCACAAATCACACCCTCTTTAAAGAGCAAATAACTAAGCTAAGAATTTTACAAAGGTTGAAGAAATCCCTATTCAAAAATAAAAGAGGAAGAGAGCAAGAATAAAAGTTTGATGGAGCCGAAAATAAGATCTTCTCCAATTAAAACGAAGCTTTCAAAGAGCTCTACCTTTTCTCCATGGAACTATGGTGGAGAAATCATGGATATGGGTGTATCTGACGTATTTAGGCAAGAACGACAGAGAGAGTGAAGAAATTAGATTTAGAAGTATTCTAGAGAGAGAGAGAAATGAAAAAGTGACTAAAAAAGGCTTTCCCTTGATCTAATATACACAGACTGTTTGAACGACCAAACCATCGCTCCAGTGTCAAACATAATAAGTGACACTGCTCAAGCGGCTAAAACACCATTTGAGCACACATTGACCTCCTCCCAGAAGTTCAAACGTACAAAATATTGCTCAAGCGAAGAAAAGACCGCTCAAGCGAAGATCACCCAACTCCTAGAAATTCTACAGACTTGTAAAAATACTAGGAGATCTCAAAGATTGCTCGAGTGACCAAAGCACCGCTCAAGCAAACAAGAAGTGAAATAGATAGCAACTCTTTTGAAAAACTAAGTCCTTACATGTTTCAAACATTATCAACAACTCCAACCAACCAAACTCAACTAATCACAAGATGAAAAAAGGGTATTAACAACAATTAAAGATATGAAATTCCGGGTCTAAGAACCTGAAAGAATCGGGTCTAACCCAAGCCGTTATAATCTTCCCCTCTTAAGAAACTTCGTCCCCAAAATTTAAATTGAAACAATAATCACCACAACTCACTTCGAATGACAACCCAAACTAGTAACAATGGTAGAAATCATGCTCCTTACCACAAAATGCTACAATTTGAGTCGTCAAAACATTTACAATGTTTACATATTACAACATAAATGAAATTTTAATGCAAAACTTAAACACCAACAAACAGGTTTGGATACTTCTCATGGACCTCCGCCTCATGCTCTCCAGTCGCCTTCTCGATTTCATGGTGTCGCCACAACACCTTAACCAATGGAATAGTGTTACCCCTCAAAACTTGATCCGTTGTGTCTAAAACCTAAACCGGTTTCTCCTCATACAAGGCATCCTCATCTACCTCTAACTCAGTCTAATCTAGCATGTGTGAAGGATTAGGCTCTTCTGGAGCATACAAATATAAAACACATCATGAACCTCGGATAGTTGGGGCGCAAGGCCAAACAATAAGTTGCCTCTCCAATTCGCTTTAGAATCTCAAAAGGTCCAATAAATCTAGGTGACAACTTACCATTGTTCCCAAACCTCATCAAGCACCGCCTCGATGAGATCTTAATGAAAACATGATCTCCCATCTAAAAAGACAAAGGCCTCCTCCTATGGTCAGCATACCACTTCTGACGACTCTGAGCCGAAACCAATCTCTTACGAATAAACGTAACCTTCTACGTTGTTTCCCGGACGAATTTTGGACCTAACATAGGTGCATAACCTACCTCGACAACACATAGGAGATCCACACGGTTGGCCGTACAATGCCTCAAAAGGAGCCATACCAATACTGTAATGCCCTCAAAATAAATCCATAAATCATACAATATTGACATGCTTAAACATAAGAAAATAAAGCATAATTACATTCCATCAGAGTATTCATTACAAAATGTATTACATGTTGACAACAAAAGTAAATGCCCTATGGGCTTACAACTTTCCAAGTCAACACTTGGTTACAAAAAGGAGTACTAACTCGAAACACAAAATAAGCCCTTGGCTTGATATACATGTAATAAAAAAAAATGTAATCACAAAAGATGTCCCAGCCACTAAGCCTCTCAAGCTACGTCCTTGGAGGTGGCATGCTACCTGTACCTGAAAATGATGTCCCATATAGGGTGAGCCAATGCCCAGTAGAGATATGCTAAACATAATATAAGCAATAACTAAAACATGGGCCATTGATAAATGTTTAACTCATATGAATCAATTCATAAACCATTTCAATTACATGACAAAGTGACCATGTTTCAATTCATATTCCATTTCTTATCCAATTCTCAATTCATAACTATGGCTCAGAACCTGGCCAAACAATTTGATTTAGATCACATCTCATATCAACAGTATTTCTATTTCAGATGAGATAATAACTCATATTAAACATTTCTCACTTCATAATAGATACACATTTTGGTACTGTATCAATAACACATGACAACACTTCCATACTTCGCAAATAATACACATTTTAGTGCTATATCAATGTCAAACAACAAAAAAAAAACACTTCCATACTTCACAGATGATACACATTTTAGTGTTGTATCAATGGAGTCCATCCCCTATCTCCTCCCAAACAATATCCGGTTTAGAGGTCCATCCCCTATCTTCCCCTAAACCGTGGAGTACATCCCCTATCTCCTCTCACACAACACAATGTATATTTACACATATCATATACGTAATCAAATCAATACATAAAATTCATGTATTATATCAACCGCCATATTCGATGGCATACTCATTTGATTAGTTTTGGTTTGCCTAATCATCATGCATTGTCTACAACAATCAAGACTATCCTCCACCGATAGCCCAAAGCAATTGTTTCTAAACATATAATAAATGCATCAACAGATAATTTATCAACATTTTCAAAAGTGAGCGATTAATAAATTCAACTTCACTATTCCATCTCATAATGAGCCAATTTCATTAGTTTCAACTCAATTTCACATTTTCATCATAAATGTCATTAATCACACTAATGACCCAAATATACCCAAACATGGCATTTTTTCCCTTTTTCTCAATATTGACCCCAATGGTCCAAATATTATTAACAACATCAATATACTCATTTTGAAACCCAAATACACATTTATGGTTCAAAAGAAACAAAACCCCTTTTTCTAAAAAATTACACATTTAAGACCCTAACTCCCAAAATCCAAAACCATTTATACAAAAGCTCAATATCCATGTCAAAGTTCATAAAGATAAGTAGGAATCCCTACCTCAAGAGATGAAACCAATGGGGATGATGGAGAAATCTCGAAGTGCTCCAAACCAAGAAATTTTTGGATGGATAGGTGGCTCTCAACAAGCTCTACACTTTTTATAAAGACACTAAAAGAGTGGATCACTCTAACTAGATCAAACCCTAGAGAGAATGTAGATTCTAGAGAGAGGAGCTCTCAAAAGAGGTTTTTAGAAAGTAAGAGAGAGAGTGTGAAAGTGAAAAAGTGATCTAAAAAGACCCAGCTGATATCTGATATACGTATGACCTGCTCGAGCAGATAATAGGACACTCGAGCGTCAAGCATAAAAACTGGACCCGCTCAAGCGTGAAGGGTACTCGCTCGAGCGCCAAGACACAACTACAAAACACACCCGCTCGAGCGCAAAGGAAAAGCCGTTCGAGCATAGATTTCCCCCTTCCAGTACTTTTACAGA